TTATTTTGGGGTTTTGAACTGCGCCGTTGCTGTAATTTTATTGCTTTGCAGGTTTGTTAGATTTAATACTATCATTTTATTGCATATGCTGTTATTATCTCTTTGTAAACTGCCCAGAGAGTCATTTTGGAGAATGGGCAGTACAGAAACTTACTAAATAAATAGGGAAGCCATTGGGCAGATAATTTCTCCCCATTTCTTCTCTTTCGCCTTCATTTAGGCAGTCCTACACGGGGGTTATCCAGAGATGAATGTGAGCAGGCAGGACAAGAAAGCTTTTGCAAGCTAATAACTTCGAAGATTTATTTCCAAAGCTGTGCTAAAGTACGTTTTGCATTTGTTCAGGCAAGTCTCTCGAGTGCCTTTTCTAGTAAGAAATGCCATGGGAAATGTCACAAGAGGAGCATATTACATTTCCCCGGAAATAGCTGTGCTGGCTGCCCAACGCAATCCAAATATTGTGGCAGCTTAAACCCGAGCAGGTTTATTGTGTTATATGGATTCGTGGACTGCAGCCAAGGTCATCAGCTCTGTGGAGTGTTACCCACAGCTGGCAGATTACAATGCACCAAGAAAAATATAAACACGAGGGTCTAAAAAGTCAAGAAATGCATTTGGCTTAGCAAGCCTGGGAGATTTCTTTCCCAAGCTCCAGCATATACAAGCCAAGCTCTTACCTCGGCTTTTAAAAAAATTACTTCAGTATTTTTCATAACTAATAAGTGGGATGGTGGCTCTCCTTCTGGATGCATGTGGTAACTGAAGTGTCCGTTGTTAAAAAATTAAATAAAATAACATTTTCCCCGCAAATGAGAGGCACACGGCACTTAGAAAGCAGGAAAGATTCTTTAAGGATTGTGATGGAAACAGGCTTGGACAGCACAAGAAGCACAAGTTAAAAGCCCACTCAGTACCGCCAAAGACTCTTTTCTTGTGATCCCATTTCCTCCACTGGTGCTTTGGTGCTTTGGAGCAAAACCAGCTGTGTTTGTGCCATCATGGGTTGCATAAAACCAATGGCACTCCTTGGCGAGTCTGGCCTGGTATTACCTTGTTAAAACTTCCAGCCTCTTTGGATTCTGCGCCATCACTTCCTAGGAGCGGGGCCTTTCCTGCACTGGCCCCACGAATGCAGAATGCCCTCCCCAAAGAGTTCTGCTGGTCTTCCGCTGTCGTTTCCTCTTGGAAACTGGTCAATACCGTTTATTCCACCAAGCCTTTGAGACCAAAACCTTTTCTCAGCATGTCCTTTGGCACTGCTTCTGTCTGATAGGTGTTTTAGATGGTTTCAATTTATCTATTTATATACATTAAAAAAACCAACAAGTTGATATTTTGTTCCTGCTGTTTCCATGCCTCCATCGCACAGCTTACCACTGCAAAGCATCATCCTATAGGTGGAAACATGTAGAACCAAAATACTGTGCTTCGGGTAGGCGCATGAGAGGCTTCACATCCCAACTCTTGTCACAGTTGGTTAACAGCAGTTCCTCCAGCAGCCTGCGAACCAATAAATCCAAACCAGAACCCTAAAATTCAGGGGGAAAGGAGGCAGCACCTGCTGTCCTCAGATCGCTTGCTGCAAAGACATCATCTCCCTGAAAGAAGCGGCCTGAAGCATTTTGGTTATGTGCTAGTCACCAGTGTTTAAAAGAAAAAGGGAAAGCAAGAACCGGAATGAAAATCTCAGGCAATGACAGGTCTGGGTGGCATGGAAACTTAAGACATCTGCAGGGAGAGACATGATGGATCCTGGGAGCCAAAAGAGGTGTGCTTTCTGTCTTTTATGAGGATGTTACTGGCACTTTGCTAAGAGTTATGGGTCTTATAGCAAGCAACAGTACTTGAGAAGCCCTAATCATACAAAGGAAAGATCACCGAGGGACCAGAATTCTTTGTTCCAGAAGAACAAGGAGGGGGAGGAAAAGAATACATGCAAATGCTGCAAAACCTTTGGAACGGATAGCACATTGTGTTCCCAAAACAGGTCAGATTTAATGCTTTGAATATTCTGCTGTTCCATCGTCAGTTTTGAATCAAGTGCTGTAACTCCAAGGGTACCTTCTCACTCTCTTTTGAAGCAGGAATTATTTTTTCCAGCATTGAAATACTTCAGTTGGGTGCACCTGCTGAAATTTTATGACTCTTCTCTTTCTCATTTCCACATGGAGAAGAAAAATGGGCACCTATTAAACACTTCGCTTCAAGCATCTGCAGGGAGGAAGCAACCCAGCTTTCCAAGGCATGATGCTGCCAGTTGTTAATTAAATAACCCACAAATTGCTGGGTTATTTGGAACAGAGTGACACCCCCACCTGTCCTGTCCAAGGAAAAAGAATACATATGGGAAAAAAGGGGAAAGCACCGAACGATCTCCATGACCCACTGCAAAAGTTAACACTGAAGTCCTCCTGGTCAAGCTGTGACTATCCCTCCACACGGAGCCATCTGCCACTTGAAGACACTTCCCCTTTGGCACACCTTAGTCAAATGCAGGCTAAGAGGACCAGGTACCAGGAATGGCCTCCAGCATCTAGGAAGTTACTCTTGGATAACATTGGTAGCTGCTAGGAGGAACCGTTCAAAGCACAATTGCAACTAAGTTCACAAACGTGACTAGCCCACAAATAAGTTAGGTCGCAATCTTACTCCAGTTTAGACACACAAAAAGGCCTGGACAGAGCTTGCAAAAAATGCTGAGAGCTAGTGAACTCTTTTCGGCCTCAGCTTGCATAGGACTCCATCTTTACCTGTCCGTGCAAATCTAAGTTGGATTCTTGTGACCTAAAAGAAAAAAGAATGATAAATCCTCCCTGTGAAGCGGCTTCTAAATAATCTCAAAATAACCTCTCATTCTTATAATAATCTAATCATCTCTCATTTCATCTCTTTATCACTGGAGTCTGCCACGAGCAAAGACAACCATCTCATGGTGCTGAAGGCTGCATGAGATACCAACGCAAGGCAAACTGGCTCCATCCCCCCCCACAATTCCTCTGGCCAGATAGGCTGGCACAGTTTCGAAGCCTGCAACCTGTTGCCCAGAGGCAACAGCAGCGCAAATGCATGTGCCACTGGCGAAAACGCTGCTTTCACAACACTGTCCATGTGGTGGGAATACACACGTCTGCACAAACCCACACCTGAAAGTAATTTACCTGTGGCACAGGTGGAAGTCATGATGTAAGCTTGGAAAAGTGTGGGGAATGGGGCTGGGGTGTCAGCACAGGGTTTGTCGCTCGCCACATTCGAAGGACAGTCGCTGCAGTCATAGAACCACAGAATGGCAGAGATGGAAGGGGCCAAGAAGGCCATCTGGTCCACCCCCTGCTGCTGCAGGGCACCACGTGACACCGTCCCACTCAGAGGGCTGCCCAGTTTCTTCTTGGATGTCTCCAGTGTGGGAGAGCCCCCCCACCTCTCCAGGCAGCTGCTTCTACTGCTATATTGCTCTGACTGTGAGGAAGCTTTTCCTGATGTCCCGCCTGAATCTGGGTTGCCGCAACTTGAATTGATTATTCCATGTCCTACACTCTGGCAAGAAGAGATCTTGACCTTTCTCTTTGTGGCAGCCTTGGAGGCACTTCTAGAGGGATGCCACGTCCCCCCTCAGTCTTTTCTTCTCAAGGCTGAACATGCCCAGCTCTCTCAGTTTCTCCTCACAGGCCAGTGTTTCCAAAGCCTGGATCATTTTGGTTGCCCTCCGCTGGACCCTTTCTAGTTACCTGCATCTTTCTTAAATCTTGGTGGTGACAGACAGAGGGATGCAGCTGCTTGGCCTTGCTGAACCAGATGTGCAAGCAGCTGCACCACTGGCTTCCCCCATGCTCCTGCCAGTGCAGTCCTCCAGCATCAGCAAGCCCTTCCCGGGAGCTGATGGGAGCAGCATCTTGTCCGCTCTCTCCAGCTGGAATCCGTGGCAACGCTTTTCTGCAGTTCTGGCCAAGGGACTCCTATGATTTTGGGCTCAGCTGCAGCTAGCGTGTCATCTGGGCTCGGACAACACATGAAGCCGCAATGAGTTTGTGACATCCTACAACAAGCCGAGTGTAGCTAGGTTTGTTTGTTTATTTAGGTATGTCTATACCCATTAGCGCAACATTCTCCAAAAGGTGTATAAAATGCCGTTCAAAACAAAGTACAGTGTAACATGCCATTTCAAAACAGGTTTAGAATGGACATGCCTGTTGAAATGAACAAGTCTGTCAATAAGATTCAACTGGCAGGTACAACTCAACAATAAAGAAGACGATATATAATAATAGTTGACCCTCAAACAACTATTCCTCATGTACCAATAGCAAGCTTAAAAGCCAGTATAAAACCAAATTCAAAGTTAAAGTGGCATGGAAATAAAAAGGTTGCAACTTGGTGCGGAAATATATATAGCACGGGGGCCATGTTGGAGCTGAATCCATAAGTGGGGTGCCACTGCCTGGAAGGCCCTTCCCCTCACAGCCATCCTCTTTACTTATTTGAAAGGTGACTCACGGAGAAGGACCTCCATCGATGATCTAAGCATCTGGGCTGGTTTCCACGTCATCCCAGGTTAGTTTATAAATGCATCCTTGGGAACAGTGCTGAGTTGGGACAACTCAACGCCCACTGTGGGTTTTAAGGCACTGACTTCCACCCTAACCTACCTCACACGGTTTTTTGGGGGATAAAATGGATTAGAAGATCAGGCACACCACCTTGGGCTCCTTGAAGGAAAGGTGGGATATAAATGTAACAATAAGTAATACATGCTGGAAATTTTGCAGAAGCCCACAACCTGAACATTATTCTTCAGCATTCACATTTTTTTTAAAAAAACTTGAACTACACCAAGTCACTCAAATCCAGCATTTCCTGCATAAACACAAGAATTCCAATGCATATAGAGCTCCTACTGAGTTTCAAGCTCAATCATATTCCTAACCGCAGACCGGTTCTATTTGCTGCCTGGAATAATTATCAAAGCGTCCTGTACCTAATGACACCTGATGCTCAGAACATACCTGCCAAACCAACTGCTCCTTGATGACATCTGTGGATGACAAGCAGACGCTGAGCACCACCGTGTGTGACACAGAAGTTAGCACCCCGGCAATCACCGCATCCTGCATGCTGAAGGGCAGCATGGTGTAGACCACGAAAATGATGAATAAGAAAAACGACACCTGCGCCGGAAAGAAAGCACAGTCATTTTAAAAACCTTCTGAACATATATTTGCTGAAATTACCCTGGCTCCTTCACGTGTGCCTAGCGGGTTTCTTTATGTGATCCGAAGAAGCACATCGTCATCCCAACACCTGCTTTCCCCTCCAGCCTCCTCTGTTTCAGAAGAAGTTTGTTGTGAGGTGTGCGGGACAAGCTGCTATATTTGAAGCACAGTCCTAAAGCTCTCTTGGGTACACTGAACGTGTAATGCGATTCAGAGTAAGTAACCCTGGTTTGTTTAAAATGGGGCTGATGCTTGCAGAATTGCATTCTTCATGCGCACAGAAAAAGTTTGTTAACCCTCTATGAATCCTCAAATGTTCTAGCGAGGGTATGATGACCAGGCTTGTGTGATTTCTATGTTTTTGGGGATTTGCTTTTTTTTCCTGCAGTATGCAAGATCCATTGAGGTGCTTCACGGGTACATAGCAAAGGTCTGTACTCAGGATGCCTTTGCAACAGAAATGGACTTAATCTCTTTTAAAAGGTCCTGAAAAAAGAGACTGTCTTGTTTAAAATTATCAGGAATGTTTTCTGCAATTGGACAAAGACCCGCAAAGTTCAGTGTGGTACACCAGCAAGCCATTGCTTTGAAGAGGCATGGATAGTTGTGTAGTGTTTGTGCAAAATTTCTGATAGTTAAAGACAGTTTAAGCCATGCAATGCTTAAACCATGCACAAATATGCTAAAACACATGGAAACGCTTTTCCAAGCTAGAATGAAGTAGTTGCCAATAGCTAAGATTTTTAGCTTTGTAGTCTCAAATACTAAACAACTAAGAAACACGCAATGGAATAGTTTGGTGTCTCTTTCAAATATTGAGTACTAAGTTTTGTATGTGAAGAAAAACTGACATGGGGGTAGGGTGAGGATGCTGAAGACCAAATAAGAAATGACATTGTTCGTTGGAATTGCTTTCTTATCCCAGCATTCAGGCTAATCTAGGGAGAAGCGATCCATGAACAACAACTGGATTTGACATGCAGACTTTTTCTGATACCAACCTAAATGTTCCATAGAATATAGACCACTCCGTCCCTCCCTCCCCTTGGGGAATTTAAAAGAATTTCCTGGAAATCTTGGGCCTTGTGCATATGTGTATGTTGATTCACAAGCCAGCAACTTTAGGGATCACCATGGGCCTATAATTATTTCGGTAGTAGACATCTTTAAGGTTAACACATGCTGCAGAATTAAGGGTGATTCACAAAAGAGCACTAGGCAGAATTACATGGAGTTTCTATTTTTATCTAACTCTATTTGTATCACATTAAGAAAACTAAGATTATGGCATCCGGTCCTATCACCTCCTGGCAAATAGATGGGGAAGAAATGGAGGTAGTGAAAGATTTTATTTTTCTGGGCTCCAAGATCACCACAGACGGGGACTGCAGCCAAGAAATTAAAAGATGCTTGCTCCTGGGGAGGAAAGCTATGGCAAATCTAGACAGCATACTAAAAAGCAGAGACATCACCCTGCCAACAAAAGTGCATATAGTCAAGGCAATGGTTTTCCCAGTTGCAATGTATGGCTGTGAAAGCTGGACCATAAGGAAGGCTGAGTGCCAAAGGATTGAGGCCTTTGAATTGTGGTGCTGGAGGAGACTCCTGCGAGTCCCTTGGACTGCAAGGCGATCAAACCGGTCAGTCCTAGAGGAGATCAACCCTGACTGCTCTTTAGAAGGCCAGACACTGAAGATGAAACTCAAATACTTTGGCCACCTAATGAGAAGGAAGGACTCCCTGGAGAAGAGCCTGATGCTGGGAACAATAGATGGCAAAAGAAGGAGGGGACGGCAGAGGATGAGGTGGCTGGATGGAGTCACTGGGGCAGTCGGTGTGAGCTTGAGCGGACTATGGGGGATGGTGGAGGACAGGAAGGCCTGGAGGAATGTTGTCCATGGGGTCGCGATGGGTCAGACATGACTTCACGACTAGCATAGCATAGTATTTTCATCAAGCCTGGCTACTTTACACTGTTGGGCAAATGCTAATGATTAAAATTCTATTTTCAGTCTCAAGTGTCTGGCTTTCCAAGAATCCCTCCAAAGGACGGGGTGAAGGGCTGAAGAAGCTGGAGCTGAAAGTGTCCCTGAGAAGACAAAGGGCAAGTTTGCACATCGCAATAAGCCACGCTGGCTGGTTGTTTGCTTGCTTGCTCACCTGTGAGTCTCCAACAGATAAGCAGGCCCTGTGCAGCTTGCAGGGGCTTGTTTCTCCCTCCGTCCCTGCTTCCTGAATGTTTCTGGAGGGTCTGTAAGGTGCAATCCTTGTAATGCATGGCGGTGGGTCAAGGGCTGTTTTCCCCTGCAGAGGAGGGCAGGGTGTGTTCCAATGGAGCAAAGCTCAGGGGACCGAGACTCAAGTGAGATGCCAGGAAGTACTTCCTGATGGTTAGGACCCCGAGGGTATGGAATGAGGAGGGACGGGGGTGGGAGAGAGACACAGGATGTCCCTCTAGAAGTACCTCAAAGGCTGTCACAAAGAGGAAGGTCAAGCTCTCTTCTTGCTGATGCCAGAGGGCAGGACACGGAAGAATCAGCTCAAGTTGCGACAACCCAGATTCAGGCTGGACATCAGGAGAAGCTTCCTCACGGTCAGAGCAATACGGCAGTGGGACCGGCGGCCCGAAGAGGTGGGGGGATCTCCCACACAGGAGACATTGAAGAAGAAACTGGGCAGCCCTCTGAGTGGGATGGTATGACTTGCAACAGCAGGGGGGTGTTCATGCCCCCTTCCAACTCTACTATTCTATGATTGTATGATGGGGTTCCACAGGAGGGGGTTGAGGCCCCATCGGTGAGGGTGCTCAAGAATTGGCTGGACATGCACATGGTAGGCAGGTCATGGGCAGAGCTGGCTGGAGCTGGGGGTCAGACTAGATGGCCCAGGGGGACCCTACTGATTTGCTTTGTTTCTGTGTTTCTATATTTCTATGTATCTTCCACAGCTGTTGCTTCCCCCTACGGCATTGCTCTCCAACCAGTCCGTGGATCTGAAATACACTTTGGCAACACAAGGCAAGCTCTAGATTGCATGGAAGCGTCTGCTCAGACAGGGTGTCTGTCGAGCTGCTGGGTGGGCAGCACACTGACAGGATCCCTAATTTGGTTCACACATCACGATAAACCACGGTGGGTCCACGTGTCGCAGGCACCATCTTGAGTACACCAACTGCAGTGGGCCCACGCCGCAGCTTGTCATGTCATGCGCTATTAGAGATCATGGGCTATTATTCAAGGTTATGATGAGACCACCATCCAAAGGTAGTTTAACCCTCAACGCCCTCCAACAAAGAAATCTGGATTCAAAACCATTGGATTATTTCTGGGACCATCCAAATTCCTCCCTTGTTTGATCAATTCCACTTATGAGTGATCATGAATGACTCTTTATGACTGATCGAATGAACAACCACATTAACATGCTGTCTTTTAATACAAAAAACATAGTTTACACGCACCAAAGTTATACTAAAAAGCAGAACAGGCGCACAATTTGAAAGCATGTTCATAAAATAATTCACGGAGAAAGCAACACTAAAAGCATACATCTAGTTAATTTCCAGATGCCTGGTGTTTTCCCAAATGCTTTCCCACCTAACTGAAAGAGAGCACTGGTGGCCCTCTTTGGAGAGCGTGGACTAGCCGAAGGTAAGCCAACCTCCCCCCAAAATGGCACTTGAAACATCTGGGGCTCTTACAGTAAACACGGAGACGTGTCACATTATTGTCTTCGATTCCATTTCTGGGTGGAATCCAAGGTCCTTTAAGTGCAATCCTAGGTCTGCCCAGAAGGAAACACCATTGAAGATGTGGAGAACAACGCCCTTAACTCCCCAAAGGCACGGGATCCTGAAGGATCATCTTCCCATATAAATCCAAACTTTCGGTGAAAAGGGTCTCCTTCCTAAACCATTTATTTATTTATGTAAAACCTTTTTAGACCATCCCTTACCATAGTCTTGGGATGGTTTAACAGTAAGACAAAAATAAAACAAAACACGACTTCCTAAATAAATCGTCAGGTTACCCCAGCTGAGATGCGACAGGGCATTTTCCGAGACAGTCCACAATATCAAACCTGGGAGATCCGGTTCAGAAATCTCTTTAAACGCCTTTAGATACCATCTGAAAATGTTCTATATTTAGCAGGCAGACAGACTAGCCTGCAGATGAATATCGGTTGACTTATTGATTTGCTTTTATCTGCTTTGCTTTTATTAAGGTCACTCATTTACCCAGTAGGAAGACCATGAGACACAGCTGAATCTCCTTCTAGGAAACCATTCATGTTTTAGGACTGTGGCATATTTTCCTTTTGTTGAGCCTTTTGGAGCATTTTAGGAAGGAAGTACAGTAGACATCTTTGATACGGACACTGCACTATTTTTATATATTACTTTGACCTATAACTCCCAACAGCCCTAGCCTGCATGGCCCCAGTGGCAAAGCATCATGGGAACTGTGGTCCACAGCATCAGATGGGCCATGAGATGCCCATCACTGCTCATGAGGTGGGGAAGCAACTTGGAGCAACTGGGGGAAGATAAATTGTAGGCAGAACAAGGACTAATTCACTCTCCCCCACGGCTTCTTGGCTCTACAAACCACTTCCAAAACATGCTGTCTCCTGGCTCTTTAAAGAAGCACAGCATGAGGGTGCAAACCTCGCACTGCATAAGCAATCTCCAAGGCCACAAAAATGATTTAGGAAGGAAGGAAGTGCGTTGCAAAAGAAGAAGATGAGGAATAAAAAGAGATGGAACATGTCACTGAACACAGATAATTTATTTCCTTTGAAGGACTGATTCTGCTGCTATATTGTATAATACGTTGCTCAGAAACAGAGAGACCTAATTTCTAACCTGGAAACTTGATGTGTTTTCAACAGAACAAAGAAATAATATTAAAGGAAAGCCATGCGGATCCCTTTACAGCCCATTACATTTGGATAAAGATATAAAGAAATGTTATTTCCATGGCAGCTTTTGTCAGTTCTCTCTTTTTAA